TGCGTGTATGTACAATGTTGTGCATATGTACAATGTTTTTTCTTCTTTGAAGCGATTGACTCCTATATACGTGTGTGTGTGTTCTATGAGCTATTTAAATTTAAGGTCAAAACATTCTAAGTTGTTTTTTTTAAGAGTGCAAATTACATGACATGAAATGTATATGAAGTTCTTTGGAGAGGGAGGATATAGTTTGTTGATTATAACTGAACTGTAACATTTAATCCTATGTCTTCTTTTTATATATTTTCTATTATGTCCTTTGAGGTACGTAAATATTGTCTTGCTCATTAGCAAAGAAGCGATGATTGACTTCTCAATTTTATAGTGTGAAAAGCAATAAAATGAACAACCGATACAACGCATCCTCTTTTTTACAGATTAATGTCTTTAATCTCTCTTCTGAGAGTGTTTTTCCTGCATTTTTTTTTGCAACTCTGAGTTACATGATCATACTATTTTGCAACCTTACTCTAATCCTCACCATTGTGCTGAATAAATCTCTGCATCAGCCAATGTACCTAATTCTGCTGAATCTTCCTATTAATGACCTTATAGGTTCATCAGCTCTCTTTCCACAGCTCATCAAAGAAATACTGAGAAACAGTGGGATAATGCAATACTCAGCTTGCGTTGCTCAAGCTTTCTTTATCCATATCTATGCAGCAGGCACTGTGTTCAATCTGAGTGCAATGGCATATGATAGATACATTGCCATATGTTACCCACTGCAGTACAGTACTGTGATGACTAATGCCCATATCATGAGAATAATCACCATTGTATGGATGAGTTGTTTAGTTTTAATTGCTGTGCTTTTTTTCTTACTTTTGCGCTTGCCTCGTTGTCGATCTGAAATGACAAACCCCTATTGTGATAATGCATCTCTGTTGACTTTGGTCTGTGCTGACACAACTATTAACAACATCTATGGCCTTTTTATAAGTGCTTTTTCACAATTGGTGGCTAATGGAATTGTTTTCTACACATATCTCCGCATCCTCATAACTTGCTTTAGATCTAAACGATCAGATACAAAAGCCAAAGCTCTGCAGACATGTGCTACACATCTGATTGTTTTTCTCTTGTTGGAGTGTCTTGGTCTTTTCACCATCATATCATATAGACTAAATAATGTGTCACCCCATTTCAGAAGATTTATGGGTTTGTCAACTTTAATTTTCCCCCCAACACTGAATCCAATCATCTATGGTTTGAAAACAAAGGAAATTCAAGAAAAGGTGTTGAACTTTTTAAAGAATAGGATGTTTTCATCTTAATGCACTCTTTCAAAAGAATCTGATGTAACATGCTGAAACATTTTAATTGTTTTATTTTCCCGTATTTATCCTGCTGTCTGACATTAATTCAGTCACTCTGTCGAGTCTTTTAAAACATGCTGATTAAGTTTTCTGATGACAGATATTGTAGTGCTTTTTGAAAGAATGTAGGTTATTACTTTATTTTTTAGTTATTGCTTGTCATTATATTCTTTTGCATAAAAAGTAAATGGAAACTTCCAATTACACGTCTTTCTCGTTGTGTGACTGTTTTCACAAAAATCAAATAAAAACTTTATATTCATAGAATATGAACGTTTATACTTTCATATACATTGTATATTATCAATCATCTTTTTCCATTTTAATATCTGTATTATTATTAGTATTATTGTTATAACTAATACTACTAATAATAATAACAACACAACAATTTAAATATATAATTCTATTAAATATTTGCCTATTTTACTTCATCTCATATGTCATTGTACTGAATTTGAGCAACCCTAAGCTTAATGCAGATTACTTTTAACAATTATCCACCTCAATTAAATCTATGGTCTGGAGCACAGGCTGCTGTCGAACAGGGCAAGCTAAAGAATAAACATTTTGTGTCAGTAAGGGGTGACACAAGCATATCTTAAGTGCTGCTGATGTGGGCTGGCCTTCTCCACACACTCTTCAAGGCTGCAGTGCACAAAAACACTGTGACGTCAGACACATTCACACTCACTTTTTTCATGTGCATAAATAAATCATATGGCTGATGATATGTGCCATGGTGATCCATGAGTATGATCATAAGTTTATTTATTTTTCAACCCAACAAAACAAATAAACAAAAACATGATGCTGATGCTATGAACACTCCACACACATGAGTCAAGATGCAGGAAAACTGCTCACGGAAACTCTGCACACTCCAGTTATCATAGTGTCTATTTATATTCAGTACATTGTTTATGTGCAGTGTGCTACATAACTCAGACTGATTTAAACATATATCTGTCATGATCCGGCAGTGTGCAGGGAGGAAATGGACCCAAACGCAAACTCACTAGAAACAGGTTAGAAATCAAAATGGCAGCTTTAATTGCTGAACAAAGAACGTCTACAAAACCTAAACTGAGAAGAATCTAACAAAACACACGCAGGGAGACGCAGGGAGACGCAGGGAGACGCAGGGAGACACAGGGAGACACAGGGAGACACAGGGAGACGCAGGGAGCATGAGGGAGATCGCGACACTGACACAGAGAAACACAGGGCTTAAATACACTGGGAAATAACGAGGGGAATTAGACACAGAAGGGGAGCACAGGTGGGAGAAATCAGACATAACCAGACCCAAGGGAAGCGAAACTCAATGCATTCACGTAGGACACAGACCTTCAAAGTAAAACAGGAAATGTAACATAGACGCAGACTTGACTAGGGGAGACAGAGCAACTAAGAAACACAGAGAACAATAACAGGGAGACACAGAGAACAATAACAGGGAGACACAGAGAGCGGCTAACTAACTACTCAGAAAACTAAATAGAATACAAGAAAGCAAAAGTAAGACACTAGACTAAAGAATAAACTGGGGCAACAAAGAGAACTAAGATCATAATACAAAAACTCAGAGACACAAGAAACTCAAAACACTGGGTCACCGACCCAGGACCATGACAATATCTATCAATAACATCTTAATTAAGGCTCCTTACTACAGATACTACAGGAGAGGTGGAGGAAGATCTCAGCCTGGGTGTTTATTGTCTTATGTAGTCTGGAAGATGAGTGGATGGTGGGGTGGGTGCAGTTTTCTCTGTGGTGGGGTTGGGTGGACTGTCCCGGGCTCTGTGGGGCCGGGAGGCGCTGCTGCACTGGGCCCCGGTCTGGATGGGCCTGGGCCCCCTTTCCCTGGCGGGTCGCGGAGTATGGGGGTGCCTACTGGGGTCAGCGGGGGAGCTGGCCCCAGGGAGGGGTCACTTGCCCCTCCCTTCCTTCCCTCCCCATCTCCAGCTGCCTCCCTCTTCCCGCTCCACCACAACCACCCACACATGCAGGGCCTTGGAGTAGGGGTATGTCAGTTTAGGTTTCTGTTTAACTATTACTCTTATGCTGCCCTCACTCTGTTTTGTTCCTTTCATCAGCCAGAAATAAAGGCTCGCTTTTGTTTAACTCCACTCCTGCATCCTCGCTTGTGTTCGCTCCTGGGTCCACCACACACATTTCCGCACGGTCTGCCTCCGCAGACCGTGACAATACACCTCTAAGCCTATATGGTTAAATATTTCTAAGCATAAATGACAAACAACAATACAAAAACTAACAACTTGTAAAGTATCTAAATCCCCATGTTAAGAAAAGATCTGAGATAGTGTATCGGAATATAGCTTAGACTGACTTCAACAAGAAAACATAGAATCAGAAGGCATATTAGTCACTATCAAGTATACTGAGGTTGTGCACTGCACTGGTATTCTGCAGAGGTCTAAGCCTTTGCAGTATTAAAAAGTAGATATGGATACAGCCTAGGAAGTGATATAGATTGAGAAGCACAGTTGATAAATCAGGGGTGTCCAACTCCAGGCCTCAAGGGCTGGTGTCCTGCAGGTTTTAGATATCACACTGGGTCAACACACCTGAATCATATGATTAGTTCATTACCAGGCCTCTGGAGAACTTCAAGACATGTTGAGGAGGTAATTTAGCCATTTAAATCAGCAGTGTTGGATCAAGGACACATCTAAAACCTGCAGGACACTGGCCCTTGAGGCTTGGAGTTGGACACCCCTGTCATAAACGAAAGTGAAGAAAAGTCAGGGGCCCAGGCAATAGAAATTACAGAGATGAGAAGGGATAGGAAACAATGCAGAAGACTATGGCCCTTCACAGGAGGCATCACCAGCAAGTCAAGGAAGTTGCTGATGTCAATAAATCCTCTCCATGTCTAGGGACTGGCTTAGAAGACAACACGGAAATTCTTTGTGATCTTATGGCAGAAAAGGCCCTAATTATTGGAGAAATAGAGGCAGGTAGAGCCAGCTCATAGTTTCATGGTGTTAGATGAGATACCTTGGGCATGACTGGGACAGGAAAAGAGACATCTGCGCCTAATTTGACTTAGAAGTACTCTCAACATGCACCAGCAAAAGGTGGCTGAGAACAGCAGAGCTAAAATCTTGGGACGTCAAATTTCAGGTTGCCAAGATATGCAGCATAAGATGCTGGTCATGAAAGTCAATCTAAGCTCATTGAAGCTTGAACGTGCATATATAAGTGTTCGCATTTGAAACAATTCTCTACTTTACATATTTGGCAACCCCTCCTTTAGTTTTAAAATCAAAGGAGGGTAAAGCATGCCAAAATTATTAATGAGGTATACTTCAAAGACTTTTTCAGAATAAAAGTAAAAATTTTACATATCGTTAGCTTCATAGCATAAGTGCCTAAGTCATTTTTTGGTCAAATTGAGATTTTTGCCTAACTTTACTCCCCTACCACTGCTGCATCATCCTGTCCGTCTGAAACACAAAACACAAAAAAATGACTTAGGCACTTATGCTATGAAGCTAACGATATCTACTTCTATGTAAGGACTTACTTCATGCAAAATGCTCCAACAGCTAGCCTCATGGGGCATCTTTGGCATATATAAAGAACAACATCATCATCATTGGTAATTACAGCACTCTAAGGGTGAAGTTAGGGTGATGCAAGGCTTCAGGAAAAAACAACAACACAGGTACAACTAACTTTGTGTTTCATAATCAAATTGAAATTGCTTGTTAATTTGTGATAATTTCTTTTAATTGGAGAAATTTGATACAGATTTTGACAAGCAGGAGGAACATATTGTTTTCCATAGGAAAGGAAACAGTTTAAAGATTGTATAATTATGTATACTAATTCATCTACAAGTAGCCTTCTAACACTGCAAACACTGGGCTTATATAGCACAGATATCTATCCAGCATTTGTATTTGGAACACTTACCTATTTAATTATTATGTTTTCCAATTTGTTGGTGTTAACAGTCATCGCTATGAATAAAAAACTACACAAGCCCATGTTTATCCTGCTGTTCAACTTGCCCATTAGTGACATAGTGGGTGCAACGGCTTTTTTTCCTCATCTCATTTTTAGCATTGTGGCAGAGAACAGACTTATTTCCCACCATGCATGTATTTTTCAGGCTTTTCTGATTCATGTTTATGGTACAGGAAATTTGCTCATCTTGAGTGCCATGGCATATGACAGATATATTGCTATATGTTTTCCACTGAGGTATACAACCATTATGAATTCACATAATTTAATGAAAATGATTGTTATAACATGGTTCATAAATTTGTCAATGATGTTTACATTGTTTATTCTGCTTGTACGTTTCAAAACATGCAGAACAAACATTGTAGATTTTTACTGTAACAATCAGTCATTAGTAAAATTAATCTGTGACAACACCAGTGTGAACGACTACTATGGATTAGGAACTATATTCCTGCTTATGGGAGGCCCGTTGGCACTAATTTTGTACACATATGCACAGATCTTGCGTACATGTGTCATTACTAATCATACAGATGCCCGGCAAAAAGCCATTCAGACATGTGCTACACATTTAATTGTTTTCTTAAGCTTACAAATCAACACTGTCTTTGCATTGATTTCTCACCGCATCGACAGCTCATCCCCTGTTCTGAGAAGAGCATTTGGTGTGTCTGTTCTAATTTTTCCCCCTTTACTTGATCCTATTATATACGGACTGAAAACTAAAGAACTAAAGCAATGCATAGTAATGTTTCTAAAACGAAATGTGGGTTTAACAATGTAGCCACTTTTCCGATTGAATGTGCTGTTTACATATGTCTTTTTTATTCTACAGAGTAGGTTAACTTCTGTTTCAGTTGATAAACTGATTAAATCTTGATTGCTTTTTATCAAATTATTTAATTACAATCTAACTGACATAAGTTAGCCCTTTGAATACTAAGTTTCTTCGAAGAAATCTTTTCTTGATCTCCTCTGTGTTGTAGTTTTTGTTCTCTTTTTTTGTAAATCAAAGACCACCAATGAAGCTAAAGAATAATCTTTATGCAAAAATAATGATAAAATAATAATTAAAAAAATTACAAGATTAGCACATGCAGTTACTTTAGAATAGTATAGAATTGTGAACTTCTGCTCATGTTCATTATAATTATTTTAACCTCCTGCCTAGTGACTGTTATGAAATTAATCTAATATTGATTTCAATGATATTGGAATTTATATTCAATGTATATCACTAAAACATAGAATCAGAAGGCATATTAGTCACTATCAAGTATACTGAGGTTGTGCACTGCACTGGTATTCTGCAGAGGTCTAAGCCTTTGCAGTA